AGCGCAATGCAGGGGAGAATTTGGGAAGAACGATATGTGATTTTCAACAGGCTCTTGGCACAGTTGGTCGGGTGCTGGATGTGCTTTCTAGCAGTGGTAGGTTGGATTCCTACACGGCCTGTTTAAGGGGGGACTACGGCTGCTCGTCGTGAAAGAGTACAGGAGGAAATATTGAGGTTTGCCCACGAAGGTTTCCCCTCAATACATGGTCTTAGGATCATGGTGAATGCGTTCCTACCTATTCGACCCGATGTAACTAGCGTGAGGCACGTTTTTGGAAAAGTCAGGCACCGGATGGGCTTTGCTGGAGAATGGAGGAACTTGTATTCTAGATGTCCACCATGCGTGTCACGTCCATTGGATGGAGGATGTAAGCCTGGCACGATAAATAAATCATCATCTCCGTCAACTGCCCTGCCATGAATTTTTCTCTTTCTTCTTTTCAGTAACGAGGCTGCACCTAAATTCTTAGAGCCTAAGCTAGAGCCGGCTTTGCCATTTTTTGTCGCAGGTCAAGTCTGGTGTGATCATTGCTGTACGCTCCGTGTAGAGCTAGAGTAAAAATTAATTTCAATATCTGGAAGCGTACTAATTGTTTGTTTTTTATTAATTATTTTACGTCTAATTAGAGTGAGCCTTAGCCCTTGGCTCTGCGCCCATCCGGGTAAAGGACGCTAGAGCTTACTATTCTGGTTGCCTGAGGCGCCCATATTCCCAAACAAAATGTCGAATCACCTTTATGTTGCGCGCGTCTTCTTCTTTTTGAATCAGATTTCAATTACGTATGCAGCTATCTCGCTATGACACAATATCAAAGAAATGTTTAGAATAGATGATTCAACGTAAAGGAAGGGCACTCATGCCTCAGATTTCATTTGCAAGTACCTCTGCGAAGTTATGGTGGCTTTTTCTTCACCCCAAGTCAACCCTCATCTGTGAATACCCACCCAGGGAAACGTCTCAAAAACCCTGAGTTATCCAGACATGCCTCCGTCATCAATCAACTTTTCTCCGCGCGAAATATGGTCTGAGGCGTCTCCTTCCCAAGTGGAGTAGGTTCCCAGGCTACTCAAACTATACCAGAGAACACCAACAGGAGGCGGACCACAACACCTTCCATCGTCGGCTTGTGTTCATAGTATCAGCTGCACTCTCGCAAGCGAAGTCTTAGCACGCACAAAGCTCAATTCGTAAAACTCCTTGCCAAAATTCGGAATTTCACGCCCTTCAAGGTTATATCCTTCCTTCGCATTGTATTGTAAACTTGTCCAAATTCCTCTCCCGTCCATCCCAAAGAGCTGTCTCCCAGATTTGTGCGCCACGCTTTGCTTCGTCCGTTGGGTATAAATACCGGCATGGGCGTGTATTTGGTGGTCAACTGAGGCCAGAGAAAGTCGACGAGAGGTGTGGTCATTGAAACGAGGATGTACTTTGTCGTACTTGTAGACTTGACGAAGCTTTTTTGAGAATCGGACTCTTTGGGAGTGAAAGATTGACATGGTGGAGTAATTTGAAATTTTGCCTCGTGGGCCAACTTCTTTGATATTGACAAATTTGACTGAACTTGGCTCTGGGAGAATATTTCACTCCCAGGTTCGTAGAGGACACCGCGTACAGGTGTTCAGTCTTGCCCTCCATACTGGGCCACGCTCAGCAAGCTGCCGTTGAGAAGGATGCGATTCTTCTTGACTATCCCAAATATGCAGAGCATACTGAGCGATTACACCGGCATCACTGGAAGGTGAAGAATTCGACTTTGCCGGCGCAGTTGACGGAGAGATAGAGGTGTGTTTGTTGTAATGCTTGAGTCTCAGATTATCTAGCACATTGGGCTCTTCTCTGGCCCAGGCCACACCTTGTATAGTGCTCCTATCCTCTTTTGTTTCTTGAAAGATCATTGATATATTCCCCTTGATGATTAGCCATTCAGCTCAGTGTTTTACCATGGAATCCAGCCACTTTTTCCACGGAACCTTCTACCCAAAAAAGTAAAAATGGTAGCAATGGAAACTGCGTGCGCGGGAAAAAGTCTCAAAAGACCTGCAGCCCCAGCCTGGCGAGGCCTAGACACCGAGACCACAGGAGATGCGCATATCTATATATATCTCTCTTCTTTGAAATATTTGAGGTCAACTAGATCCAATCCACCATCGCTATATCGGGTGCTTGGCACGCTCCGGAAACTCATCGGATGGCTTTTCTCCTATGATCAAGTGTTGGTGATGAGTAGGGTTTCGACCCTACAAACTGATCTGATTGTGGTCAGTTTCATGATAATGGTGATAGGGGATGTGTCGAGGGATGAAGACGATACAGACCGAGAAAGCGACTGGGAGTCCTCACCAATGCAAGGATAAAGGTATTACTCAATCTCGGCTCCGCAGAATCCACAGTGAGAGCTGGAGGTCCGTTGGGGACACCACTTACAGGTGTTAAGAATATTCCCCCCCGCTGTTGGCGGATTTTTTGTGTCGTTATTTATTTTTCTTTCTTCATAGATAGCACCAGGAAGGCCCTCGAGCTGAATCCAACCTCTATAATTTTATAGAAGCATTTGATATGCTTGTGTAATATTATATTATCAGTAAATTTTTGATTAGACGGAATACAAAACTTGATCCTAAACAAGAATTCTGCATTGAAAAAACGAATGCTGAGGCCAGCATCTACCCGTCGGGTTTCCTTTTATTTTTTGAATTTTTTTATTTATTTATTTAGCGTCGTGCTGAGCTTCCTTTGCTATTTGCGCTGAATTAATTATTTCTCCCTGGAAGTCACTGGGGTGGCCCAAGCACCCAAATGTGACGGCATGCTTGTGATAGACAGCCCTAGCTCCTTGCGGCGGGGTAGCGCATGACGGGACTTGTCAGCTTAGCGAGCTGCTGAGTCATGGATTAGTCTACTACTGGGGGAGGGGTGATGACAGCATGTACTTCACAAGAATTTGTCAACTTCTCATGTTACCAGCAACATAGGCTGAATACAGAGGATAATTATGAGTATAACCAAGATATGGTTACAATTTGTACACAAATTTGGGCAAAACATGCTATCAACAATAGTCACTACGGTATCTAAACAACGGATGCAGGATGAAGGGCTTCACGGAGGCTACAGTTTAGGTTGGTTTGGTCTTGTCGCACTACCTGAGTCTGAGACTGTCTAGCACAAAGGGCCCCTCTGTGACCCAGGCCACACCTTGTATGGTGCTCCTATCCTCTTTCGTTACCAAAAAATATATCTGGTACAATGCCCATGATGGATAATTACTCAGCTCAGTAATTACCCGCGGAATTACATCCTAGGTTGCTTTACTAAGAACTAGCTACCGTATTACCACTCACGACCGTGAGTACCTTATTATATAGATCCTTCAATGGAAGTTGACGAGAAGGAAATAGAAATGAATTGTATGGGGGCTTATACATAAATTAGGTCATCATTTACTATTTGAAAAGACTGATATTATACAATTACATTTACTCCAAAAAGTCGCGTAATATCTTGTCACAACCCCATGTTATGGTAAATCGAATACAGGCCAAGCTAGGCCTCGCAGAAATTTTCAAAAGTAAACCATCATGTGATTAGAGTTAGCCATGTTGTGTTCCATCACAGATGAAACATTGAAGGTTCCGAATAGCATGCCATATTTGGAGTATGAGACCCTTCTACTTTCTAATCCATAGCTTTCGGCTTTAGGATGTCGTTGGCATCAACATACATATTTGGCTAGCTTATACTATGGGGTTTTGACTCACCTACTTAATTCAAGCGCGTGATGGGGGAGTGATGACCATGCTGGAGGGAAAATTAGCATCGTCTATTCGCCTCGATGCTCAGCTCTATCTCTTGCCCCTATCGCTACATTATTCTGGTATGATGCATCGATTGGTTGTCGTTTTTCGTACCAATCCGGATGGTAGTCAAGCTTAAGCTGGATCCGAAGCTTGAGGATCAAACCAACCAAAATTAGCACATCGTCATTGTGCCTCTCGATCTCAAAATCTGGAATTGTAGAGCATGTTAAGGGTCATGAGCCGTAAGCACTGCTACTGGGGAGGGATTGAAAAATAATGGGTCAATCCGCTAGACACAGGAGAATGCCAGATATTTTTAGGGTAGGATGGATAATTAGCGGTATAGAACAGTCCGAGAGAGCCAAATTTGGAACATCGGTCGCGGTTTGAGGACAATTCGGCTCACGTGAGATTCAGGCCATGATGATGATGGGCATGGGCATGGTCCTAATAATGGATTAGTGATATAGATTGTGGTAGCGATAGGTAGTGGGGCGGGGCAGACATCATATTACAAACGCCACCCCCGCCTTTCCATAGCGCCCGAAAACCCTCCCCTTTGCAATACACAAGCTATTGGCCCGCTATAGCCACGACTGGGGTGTGTATATCCTCTTTCAGACTTGTCAAACCAGCGCTTGAGGAGACGATTCAGCGGGCCTTTTGGTCAGATCAATTACGGATAGATTGAAGAGACAAGAGGTTTAGACCAATTATCTTTGATTCTAATACGGTGGCCCATCTTTGCAGGGAATAGCCTTTGCCCCCCTTATCTTTTTTCCGCAGTTCCATCTCGTCCTGATGCCAGAGGCTTTCGTGAGGGGAGGGCCATGAGGGAACCCCCTCCCCCCCCGGCCCCAAGAGGCGGTTGACGTCTGAGCACTGGTGTCTTTTCAAACTCCACACCCCCTCCCCCAAAGTGGTCCACTTCCGCAACGATTGTACATGAACATATTTAACACTTTGGTGTGCAATACTCTTATCAGTTTTGGATACCCGATCGCACCCCTCATTTTCTATCTGATCGCCGAATCCATTCTGCCCCGATATCCTGCAACACATAGAAGTCAAACCTACCCCACCTCATACTGAAGAGGTGGTCCGAGGATCCACTACTCTTGGTGGAACGAGAGGAATTTCATTTATCAACAAACTTCCGGCAAACTGATAGAAAGGAGCTTGAGAGATAGCGAAAAGAGTATGCCCGCGGAATTCAGGCAGGCGAGTACTGGGTCCCTCAGTATACCGCCGACAACCTCTATCAATGGCGGTCCGCCTCTGCCTACCTCAGCAGGAGCAGCAATTCTTGGGCGCTTTGATGGTCCTCGTAGTCCCCCTGGTAGACAGAGTGAGTATTTTACGTGTATATAAAAGCCATATATTGATAAGAGACGCTGACATCAAATAGACACCAGTCATGTACCGTGCAAGTTCTTCCGAGCCGGTGCATGTCAGGCCGGAAACTCATGTCCCTTCAGTCATGATCCTGCGAGTACCACGGACAATATTTGTAAATATTTTGCCAAGGTAAGCTGTCACTGTGTTAAGCTTGAGGAAATAAAAAGTGCATACTTCTAACACACAAGCCATAGGGAAACTGCAAATTCGGCCCGAAATGTGCCAATATTCATGTCTTACCGGATGGTCGAAGAATCAGCTACACCAAATCGCTGGGAACTAGTCATTTGAATTTAGGTACTAGGTTGAATAATGATCACTTTCAATCCCAAAAGCCAGGATCGGCAATAAGTACCTCATTTCTACGAACAAGCAGTGTACCGCCTCCTCCCTATGGACAGCACTTTCATAATTTGCGAGATGACAACTTTCTAGCTAATCGACAGGCTGGCATTGATATTGCAGTTCCTAGTGTTGATTCAAGCTTCGTACCAAGCCAAACAATTAATGGAGATGAGGACGTGAATCGATTCAGCCTAAGACTTTCACCCGGCACTTGTAAAATCAATAGTGCACTAGACGCAACATTACCAAGCTCTTTTGATGGAGGTGGAGCATCTTGGATAACTCGTAACGGTCCTATGGCTTCTTCGGTCCCGGCTAAATTCAGCCTCGATACATTTCCCGATTTTCCTGGGCCGCCAGATGGACGGTCTTCAGAGACTTTGAAGAAGCTGCATCACTCAGTTTTTGGGGATGAGACACGTGAAAGATGGAATGGCCATACCACTTCTCCACCAGTCTCATTAGGCGAGGAATATTTAAGCAAGAGATCAATGCAGCTGCATCGATCGATTAAGAGAGGTTCTATATCTGCTAATGTGACCAAAGCAGTTGATCGAGATTGGGAAGCGAATTTTACCTTTGAAGAGGACTATTTACCTGAAACGTTGAAGGATCTTATGACCCCTCAAGAAAAGGCCCGCCGTGGGTCTCGGAACGCTGATGAGGAGGGCAAGTTCCAGCTCAGTGGTACAGGTACACCAAACAACGATGTATCGAGCAAATTTAGTTCGCCCTCGAATACAAGTCCATCAAGATGGGGATCATTGTTTCAGCGGCAACAGCAGAAGGAAGATGAAGATCGAGTCCGTGTATCCGCATTTGGTCACGTCGGATCCCCACTCCGAAATTCAACATTGAATCTAAATGATACTTCCAAAGCTAAGCCAATTGCACGTCCGAGTGCCACTAGCGAATCCTCAAGTTATCTTTCCACTTCGCCACGCCATTGTGATGTGTCAATAACATCACAACAACTTCAGCGCACCCATCTGTCTCACACTGATATCGGTGGTGGTAATGATCAATCTCCAAACTTGGCTCGTGCTACAAGTAGTTCTATTGGGTCAAGATCAATTCTTACGGGCGAAAAGCAAAAAAATGGAGTTAGCTCTGTAAGTGGAGTGAATATGCGATACACTGCTCCTATTGACGAGGAGCATTGCGAATTCGTCTTTAGTATGGAAGGAGATGAAACAGTAGAAAAACGACGAAACAGTAGCGGCTGGCCCACCTATGGAAGAATCACCGAAAGCCCTAGACTGACCACTTTTGGCGGAGAAGGGAGTCACAGTCAGCCAACGAGAATCCTAAATAGTGAAAGACTTGGAAACATGGTCAACCGCTGATAGGACCAATAGGTTCCTCAACTTAATGCCCTTCGAGTTGGGGGATTTAGTAATAAAGCCCGTTCTTGAGGCCAACCTTTGGGCGGGAACAAATACATATCAATTTTCTTATCTGGACCCCTATTCTTCACAAGCGCAATGTCGCATATCGATATGAAATTAAACCCTCTACCTTTCATTTTCTGCGAGTATACAGGTTAATACCCCCTAGTTATGTACCATAGTCTGGCGTCAGCCAGGAATTGAGGCGAATGGACTGGGATAGAATATGAAATTGGTTAAAATAGCAAGGAATACATAAAGGATGGAGGTTGGGGTCTGCAAAATATGCGAGGCGTTTTTCACGTTCACTTTATAATTTTATGTGGTTATCCAAAAGTAATAGAGTATTCATAGCTAAATATACAGAGAAATATTTATATACTTCAGGTATTTGCGAAGGAATTGAATAAATCAGGAACTATATCATCCCAATCTGACAGGGTTTAGAGATTTTTCTTTCGCTGTTTGAAAGGTATTCAGAAGTCAATATTGAGGATAATGAGGTGTGTAAGGAATGCTTTCTATGACTATAAAGAGTACATAAGTTCTCCCAACCTAAAGGTCAAGGGCACCTGTATCCCGAGTAAAAATACTTCTATACACTTTTTGAACTTATCTTCTAAAATAACCTCCTCTTATAAGTCTTTGATCACACAGTTAAGATGAATTTAACTGTCTTGAGTGATGGAATATTCCGTATAATCATTGAAAAGAGACCAAATAATTGATGGACTCTATCTTAGCTCCGCAGACAAGATAGTGAGGACTCAGGATTTATAGGTAGCGACACTAAACTCTGTTGAAACTTTATCACTGAGTGTCTGTTTTTTGCATCAGATTTTAGTTACGTATTCAGCTATCTAGCTATGACATAATGTTGTAATGAAATAACATTTTGATTTTATTATCATGACTTGGCGGCCTATGGGCCCATGCAGAAGTCTACAATCTATAATATTAACACGGGATGAAACCTTTATAGTGAAAACCCCCCACACCTTTCTCTTGTTGTCTTTAGTTTTCACACATTTTCTTCAGGAAGCGCAGTTACACTAGATTGCCATTGATGTAGGCCAACTAGATCACCTCTAACCGCCCCAAGCATTGCTTGACATGTTCCTCACCCTAAGCAGCATTCCGACTGCCTTTGTCATCTGTGATTGCTCTATCCAACCATGGTTTAAGATCCACTGTGTTATGTTGGAAATAGAGACACAGAGTGTTGTGGACGTAAGGGCCCTCCATTTCGTCTAGGTTCCCGACACAATCTTGTATGTATTTAAGAGGTTGGAATAGGTAATATGGTAGCGCTTCAGGTTACCTACTGGATATATGAGCGGCTGAATGGCGTGGGCACAAGGAGGTTATTGGGGGTTTTCTATGCCTAGATGGCGCCACACTCGTTTATACTGTGGCTTAGGCTACGTGTCGCTTACACTTGTACTTGTAGCGCACATCTCCCACACTTTTAGCTTTAATCCGAACATGACACTCTTTTAGTTAACTTCCACTTTCGTTCCATGAATATTGTGCCCATTACATTGCGCGATATTTCCAACATGTTATCTTTTTGATATCTCGAGGATTATTCATCATTGCTTCGTAGGACCGATTTTTGGCTTGTCTCTAAATCTCTCCTCTACCATTTGACCATCGAGGGCAGGACATAATCATGTGCTTGGGGTTCTACGATAGGTAGCAACATGGACAGCTTGGACTGTAGACTCCGGGTACTTCTCTTCCATGTAAATACGAGTTGAGTACTATGTGCTCACTTCGTATTTACATCGTTAGACTTCTTTGGGCCCTAGTCAGGGTTTGGTCTGAAATAACAATTGTTATTGTTGTGAGTGATTTTTCTCGGTGTGCACGAAGTGCACTGGACCTCTCCGTTGCTGAGTCATCGTCTTGATGACTCAGCTAATACAACGAACCCCAGGATCATAAAGTTCTCAGATAGAATAGAATAGAATTCAATTTAAGTCCCTACTGAGTCTGTGAATATGAAGGACTGCTAAAACTATATAAATAGATCTAGATTTTAATGTGAAAGTTGTTTGTTGATATATTCAATGTTTACCAATAGAAATTGAGGGTCATGCCCTGTTTATTTTTAGCTTTCTCAGATAGAGACAGAAGACAAAAGACATACCTCACATTTGTACCTTTTATTTTGCATTTAACTAACCTTACATATACGCAAATTAAGGCCAATTGACAGTTGCATTTATAAAAACTTAATGAATTTACTATACACGTTTCCTATCTTACATACATCATTTATAGTCCACGAGTGATCCAGCTATATAGAGCCAACATTAATATCTTCTACTCACGTCCTAAACGGAGCGAGTGATCTATCTTCCTGCATCTTGTTTAATATCCGAAGGTCAATATCACGTAATCTCTAACTTCCTCAACACAACATATCACGTAGACCTCATGCCCAACTGGGAACCACTACTCTGTCCCAACTCTGAGCCTTGCATTATGGATGGATGGTGCGGTATTTATGAATGGATCTACTAGTAGTATCTCGAGAGTGGTTGTTATACATCAAATGAGTAAAGAGCCTCGGGGACTGACTGAAAAAGTGCAGGTGCTATGCTACACGCAATCATGTAATTAGAGAATTGCCCTGCAAACCTAGTTAGGAAGTAGCAAGGGTGAAGCCACCAGGGCAGTAAGCACTGGCGTCCATGCCTCTAGATAGTTTAGTGGGTAGTAGGGACCTAAGTTAAGCTTGGCTCCCCGACGGACGAAAAAATAAAAAACAAATAAACAAAAAACGCTCAATTCGAGAAATTCAAAAATTCGAAAATTCATTTTTTCCCATTTTCCATTCCTATGATCACTTCTGTGCTTGACTTCTCGAATTATTAATCGTCGCGAGGTATTTAAAATGCCTCCGATGACAAAAAATCACCCAAATCCGACAACTTTAGCCGGCTTTGAACGGACACCATTGTGTCCAAAACCTACTGGCCTCGCGCAAAAATTATCAAGCCTATTTGCAAGTGAGGCCTTTGTCCCAGGGAACTCAACAAATCTTCCCGACCAAGAGATGACTGATTCTGATCCGATCAAAACATAAACAAACAGTCAACAGACCGCCAAACCTGTCGAGCTGGCCCCAGTGGCAAGCAGCTCCTCAAAAGGTAAGGAAGTTGTTCGAGAAAAGACAACCGAACGTGCAGAATCATCTGCAGCAAACAATGCTGTGCCAGCCTCTAAAGGCGCAGCATCGACATCAACTATGGAGTTTCCTCCGGAGCTGCAAACCGTGATGGAGGCCGAAAAGCGACGTGCGACGCAAATTATGGCCCGCCTTGACATCTGCTCGACTGCAATAAACAGTGTTGAAGCAGCACTTTCGCCTCTTTCGATCGACGAAAATAAAGAATTCGTAGACGGTATAAAAGTCTACCTACGAGCAGCTATTGGCCAGCTCGTTCAATCTGGTCCAGGAAGCACACCACCAGTCCTTCATGCTCGCCCCGCCAACCCTCTCTCACCGAGGGCTCCAGAAATTAGGGCACCTAACCCTACTAAAACCCAGGCTCCGGCCACAAAGACAACTTGGGCCACCGTAGCTCGGGCAAGCCTAGGCAGTAGCGCTGGGCCATCGACAAAGAAGGCAGCACCGCCCGCCCAGAAAGCAAAAAGTGCCAACTCGAGTGGAAAGGTCGATTCACGACTTTTTCTGCGCCTTGACTATTTCCATCCCCACCGTCTCCTTTCTCCAGCTGGAGTAAGGCTAGCGGTGTCTCAGGCGCTGGGAATTGCTGCCATCAATATCATGTTGGTTCAGCAGGTAAAGACCGGCTTTGCAATAACCGCAAAGGATGAACTCGCTCGAACAGAGCTCCTAGATTCCTCCACATCACGGAGCGAATCTGGAATCAAACTGGAACCAGCATCAAATCTGGTCGCCATGCAAATTGCCACCGTCCCGGAGACAATTCGAACTCTTGCTGGCCCAATTGCCGTGACGGCAAAGATGGTTGCCGACGAAGTTACGCGAGTGACCCAATTGGTTCCCTTTCTGGTTCGTCCTCATGGGACTAGCTAACCAGGGGCGCCCTACTCAAATTGGCAAGCGCTATTTCCCCGAGAATTCGCTCCTCGACCTGGATTCTGCCTTTTCGACGACTCTGGAGCTGCAAAGCTCTTCCGACCTCGTCGCAAAATCGAACAATGCAAACGGTGTCTTGAATTTCACGCCACCCGTGGTTGTTCCCGTGCTCCAGCTTGCTGGAAATGCGGATCTAATATGCACTCAGAATCAGAGTGCAAGGCCCTCACCCGGTGTCGAAACTGTGGGGGACCTCACCGATCGGATTCTCGGGCCTGCCAAGTCAGACCCAGCAAGTCCGGACCGGTGACAAAAGAGCAGCTCGCGCGGATCCGCTAGATCCAGCAAGGGGAGTTCGCGAAAGTGGCTCGACTTAGGGCTGCAGCCAAAAGGGCCGAAGAGGCAACGATGGCCTCAACGAAGGATGTCTCGATGGCCGAGGGATCGGGTTTCGGAATCCTGGAATCCGAAGAAGAAGTCTGAGGGTACAGCAACCCTCGGTGAAGTCTACAAAAAGCTTCAATATATATAGCAGGATACCAGCTGAATTCAGGTTATCTGCGAACTAGCCTTTCGCTCTCAGCGGAGATAAGAAAAAGTCACATGGAAGATGTGGCAGGAAAGGGAACGGGCGAGAAGCGCAGGATCCGGACCAAACAGTATTTTTTCCAAATTTGATTTCAGGTTTTGATTTATGTTTTTGATTTTAGTTTTGCTGTTAACTTCTACAACTTCAGTAGAAGTTCATGCGGTTGGAATGAGTTGGGCCTGTACGCAGTGATCCTTGCCGGCTCCACCGGTCCTTGACCCAATGTGGAAAAGATAGCGTTAGCTTAGGAACAAATGTAAAAAAAAAAATAAAAACAATTATTCGAAATTCGAA